TGCCCACCGTTCCAACCACGCTGACAGCACTCTCCCGCTCCAATCTATTCTTCTTCTCCAAACCCCAGCTCTCTCTTTCTTGTTGCGAAGTCCAGCCACCGTCTTCTTCCACGCCGTAGCCATGGCCCGTAAGCGCAAGAGCGTAGCTAGTACTGCTGACTTGTGCCCGCGGGATCTCAACGAGATCCCGTACATCGCTTGGATGAACAAGCAGATCGCGGCCGGCCGCAAGCCCGCCGGCCCTTTGCCCGAAGGAGCGCCTGGTGCGGGGGACACCTCGTTCGAAGCCCCGCGCGATGTCCCTACCCGCGGACGCCGTGATGCCGACCGGGTTGCCTCATCCCGCGTCAACGACGATGCTGCCTTTGATGACGACGCCGCGGACTCTGATTACAACGAGTGCGACGAGGCCTGCGACGACGACGCGGACTCTGGCGAGGAGGAGGACAAGGGCATGTCCCCCTCCGAGGATGAAGTTGACGCCGATGAGGACGCCGATGACGACGATGACGCGTCCGAGGAGGCCCAGCCTGCGACCCCGGCTCCCCGTCGCAGCCGTGCCTCTGCCGCTGCCAGAACCAAGACTGCTGCGAAGGGCGGGGAACCTCCGTGTGCCGCTGCCAAGACCCGAAACCTGCATCCTGTTAAGCGGAGCGTGTGCCCCCCCCGCGAGAACACGATCTTCGTGGCTGCACGTTGGTTCATGAAGGACGAGCTCGGACCTCTCCTCGGGAAGCAGGGCTCTCAATACTGGGCCCGCCTCGTGCGCCACCTCGAGCAGGAGAATCCCGGGTGGGTGCGCGGCGTGAACGCGCTTCAGAAGCAGTGGCGCAATCTCGTCAACATGTACAAGCAGATCAAGAAGGGGGAAAAGGCGAGCGGCAAGGGTGCCATGTGCAAGCCCCACTGGTACTCGTACATGGCTCTCTTCCAGAACAACAAGGCGGTGGGGAACCCTCACGCCGTGGACGGTGGAGGTGCGGCACACGTCAACGTGCCGTGCGGGTTCGCGGTCCCCTCCACCTCGGCGCCCTGCACCTCTACGCCGACATTCACTGGTACGTTTTCTCTGCATCAACGGTTGTACTCGTTCGTTTCTTGTAGGACACATCGTGCACTGTCCATTACGCATGCATACTTTCCATACATGATTGAATACACTGCACATATTCTAATGCTCGCGTGCGGCCACCGTGTGTGCAGCTCCACCTCCGCAGGGTACTCCTACATCGAAGCGCCCACGTGTGGCAGAGACGGCAACGATGACCGCTGCCAAGCTGGTGTGCGAGACAATCAAAGGCTGCCACTCAGACGCGATGAATAGGCTCGAAGGCCTCGTCCGCGCGTGGATGGAGCAGGACGCGCGTATTGCCCGCGAACGCGTGCAGCAGCCCGCCCCCTCCCCGCCGGCCCGCGACGACATCCCCATGCACGCGGACAACATGACCGCAACGCACGGCAGGCGGGGGACCACGCCTCTAACCCTGATGCGGGCGAGGAGGTGTGGGTTCGCGGCGCCGCCGAGTGAGGTAGGACGACTCCAGAGCCTCGCCCAGCCGCTTGCGCCTTTCCCGCAGATTCTCTTGCGTGCACGGGTCACATGGCTGCCACTTGAACTCTGCTACCGCGCCACGAGTCCACCATGGGTCCCGGTTTCGGGGCAAGTTTGCCCACAATGCATTGACGCGCCTAACTGCGCCCATCGTTTCACACATGTTGTGCAGGATGACACCACAAGACGCCCCTGCAAGAATGCGCCAGAGCTTGCAGTCATTCCGGCCCGCGAATAGACGCCACCGGCCTTTGAAGGCGCCGATGCAGCGCTCTACTGCCATGCGCGTTGCGCTTTGGCAGTAGTTAAAGCACTGCTCCCAGTCATCCATTAGGCCTTCACGGGGTGCATGTAGGGGGGTCAGGCAGAAATCCTTGAGTGGGTAGGTAGCATCTCCCACTATTTGGTATGGCGCTATGTCACCGTTGTGCAACCTTTCGTGTAACGCGCTGTTCATGAACACTCTCTGATCGTGCGCACTGCCCGGGTATCCGATCAAATAGTCCCATATGATGCCTCATGCGTCGCATGTGAGCTGCAACTGGACGGCGTAAGATGACTTCCGCGTGTAGTAATCTTGCCTGTGCCCCTCCATCCCCTTCATGGGAATGTGTGTGTCGTATATAGCCCCCACTACTGCAGGTACCCCCTTGATGGCGCGGAACTCCTCGGCCATCTCATCGAGGTCATCACGGGTCGGGAAGTGGACCCACTGCTGCTTGATTCGGACGGGAAATGCATGAGGAGCGCGTCTACAAGCATGTGGCACAGGGTTTTGGACAGCCCGAACACGGAGGACAAGTCTACGAACGACATGCCGCTGGCCAGGTATTTGATAGCGACCAGGCATGCCACTTCGTGACTGATGAGGCACCTGTCCACGTACGGCTGCATGTAGTGCGCCATCCCAGCGACAATGTATTCGAGGATAGCTCGGTTTATGCGAAACAAGTCTCTGAATTCATCCTCCCCCATGCCTTCCAGGTCCTCTAGCAGCAGGTGGTATCTCCGCCGGCGTAGCCCAGCCCTTCTTTTCCGCTCGGCGGTACGGTTGGAGCCGAGAGAGCTAGATGCCGAGGACACCTCGTCGGTGAAAACGTTCGCCTCCAGCAAGCCACCGACCGACTTGGCGATGACGTCCATGAAGATGCTTTAGTAGAACGTCACCCAAGCGACAAGCAGTCGCATGAGGAATGGCACCTCGCGGGGCGATGCCATGGTTGCTAGACAATGGTGCAGTTTAGGCCAGTGATGCTTGTGTTTTTGTACTTGGAGAAGTAGTTGTATACGTGCTGTTGTGCGTGGGGTGGTCCAAAAAGGGCCCGACTCGCCCAAATTGCAACTTCCATTACAGTGGCAAGCCCTCCGCGACAATCGCGGCGGGATGATATGTTTAGGCACCCTGCCCAACGGGAAACCGGGTGGGCACAATCCTACTGGTCGCAACCAATAGTACGCACCCACATGGCAGTGCCCACCTGTCGCCCAGGGTCGCGATACATTGGTTGTTTGTGACACAACATTTGGCAAATTTACAGGCGCGACTCGGGAAAACGGGGATTGAGACACAAATGTCCCCGCAGGAATGTACTCTTAAACCCCTGTCGTTTGATAATTCCACAACCTATACCTTCACACCCTGGGGTACCTACCCACGGTGTGCCTGAAACCGATGATAGTTGATGTGATAACACCCTGATTTCCCTGATTTCACGGTGATGCTGCCTCCATTTCCCTGATATTTCAGGACGTTTGTAGTGAACCCCCTGTAGTTTCAGGATAAATTATATATATCACCCAGAGATTTTTTAGTGTTCTACACCCTCCTGCCCTGATGCCTCAGGGCGTTTTTTATATACCCTGATACTACTCTCAGACTGTGTATAGGGCACCCCGAAGGCCATACCTCAATTAACTTGACTGGTCTGTGGGCCCAGCAATTTCGTGTGTAAGTTTTCAGCGGCTCCTATGCATCCATGTAGCACAATGGTAGATTTGAAACTACGAGTTACTGGACCAAAAAAAAAAAAAAAAAAAAACGCACACACACAAACAAACAAACAAACAAACAAACAAAACAAAGCAAAAACCCTGAATTTTCAGGATAAATTTTGATGTACTTTGAAAAATCAGGTGTGGCTAGCCCCCGTGCCATGTGGACGCCAGTCTGGTTAGAGCCTTTGCACTAAGGGCTCACGGTGCTCCAAAACGAATCTGAGGCCCTGGTGATGACATTTTCAAAAACGATAGTGGAAAAATAGAAATATCTCACATTTATGCGAGCTGATGGAAGGCAATGCAACAAGAATGGAGCAACAGCAAGCACACGTCACTTTAGTTACCATAGAAAGTGGATGTTCTGTCATTTTGAGACCAGTCTGCTATGTATTTTTACATACCTCTGATTTTTGGGTGCCCATTTAGTCAAACCAGGGTGTCATACGAGCCAGAGGGTTAGGGGGTGAGGAATTATCGGATAACAGGTGCATTTGGAAGATCACAATTCCAAAAACGAAAACAGAAAAACGGTAGTAAAGGGGGAGGGGGGGAAGCCGAATGCAACGCCAAGCCCATGGAACAAAGAAGCATGTAGAGAATTTCATTGCTTTGCCAAAACGTTGTACCAATACATGATTCCATCCTACAAGGCAAAAGAGCTGGAACAACACACCCACGCATGTGCGGGGCAAAAACGGTCGAAACTAGGCAATGCAACGGATGCCATGCCAGCCTGCAACAAAAAAACTCCTTGCCTTCTACATCATACCACTGCCTACAGTACGGGAATAGGGGTTCCAGCCCAGGCTCCAACCAGAGGCTGGGGGTCTCGAGTTCTGAGGTGAGTATCCCGCCTCAAAATCCACAAGCACTCACCTCAAAACTCTTGCACACACTCCTTGAGAATGCGCCTTGTAAGGGAATGGGGGACCCAACCCAGGCTCCAACCAAGGGTGGTATTGGTATCTCAGACCTCTCTGGGTCAATGGATGAGAGGGACCCTACCCTGTGGGGACTTGCTTGTGTACGGTCCCAAAATGCAAACTATGCTCTGCGCTTACATGCACTGTTCTTACCTGCACAGTGCACTCATACGCAATGTTCTTATCTGCACAGTGCACTCACTGCACTATTGCACCTGTAGGTTCTTCTGCTGACCCTGCCACTTCTGCCCATACTGCTGCCTATTCCATGCTCACCACTGCACTGACTCACCACTCCACTCACCACTCTGTGCCCACGCTTCCTTCCAAGACCAGGCACCTGATTAGAAGGCAAATATCGCATTCTCCTTTATCAATACCCACTCCCCCTCCATACGAGCTCCACTCCAATCCCACTCTGCCTCGCGGCTCCTCCCACCCCACCTTGCAGGCACGTCAGCTCAGACCATGACGTCAGAGCTTACATTCACTCCCCACACGAATTATGAGAGACCTACTCATGCTGCCTAACCCTGATTTTCATTTTGTTCCCGATCCTGGTCACACAGTTGCTGCAGCTGCTCCTGCTCTTGCTGCTGTTGCTGTTGCTGCTGTTGCTGCTGCTGCTGCTGCTGCTGCTGCTGCTGCTGCTGCTGCTGCTGCTGCTGCTGCTGCTGCTGCTGCTGCTGCTGCTGCTGCTGCTGCTGCTGCTGCTGCTGCTGCTGCTGCTGCTGCTGCTGCTGCTGCTGTTGCTGCTGCTGCTGTTGCTTCTGCTGCAGATGCAGATATTGCATTTGCTGCAACTGCTGCAGCTGGTGGTGTTGGAACTGCCTTTGCGCAGAGTGCCACTGCTGCAGCTGCTGCACCCGCTGCAACTGCTCCTCCTGCTGCCTCGCCAACACCTCATGCTGCTGCTGCAGCAAACCTTGCTGCAATGGCTGCTGCTGTTGTTGCAGCGACTGCTGTTGCTGCCCCTGTTGATGCAGTAGGTGCTGTAGCAGGCGCTCCTGCCCCAACTCCTGAAGTTGTACTGCTTCTCCCTCCTCATCCTGCTGCTGCTGCTGCTGCTGCTGCTGCTGCTGAGCAGCATCCGCTATGACTCCAGTCTGTGCAAGTTCGTGCTGCTGTTCCAACAATCGCTCGATGTGAGGCTGAAGGGCCCACTGCTGCTGCTGCTGCTGCTGCTGCTCTTGCCACTCCCGCTGCTGCTGTTGCTGCTCCTCCTCCTCCTGTGGCTGCTGCTCTTGCCGCTCGCGCTGTTGTTGCTGCCGCTCTTGCTGCTGCTTCTGCTGCTCCTCTTGCTGTTTCTGAAGCTGCTGATGCAAGATCTGCTGCTGCCAAAGCACCTGAAGCTGCACCAACTCCTTTCGGCTCCACTCTTCCTCCTGCTGTTTCTGCCGTTGTTGCTCCTCCTCCTCCTCCTCTTGCCGTCGCTTCTGCTGCTTCTGTAACTCCTCCTTCTCCCCCTGCTGCCTCGGATTCTGCAACTGCTGCTGCTGCTGGTGATGCTGCTGCCGCCTCTGCTCCTGCTCTCGCCTCTCCTGCTGCAAGTGAATCACCGTCCGGTGCCTTTCCGTCCCTTCCTTGCCCTCTATCCACACACCTCCACTCTCTCCCGCACCTTCACCCCACAATCCCTCTTCACTCCTGTCAGGTTCTTTGCCTGGTTTATTTCGCCTCACCCCCAACGTACCCACAATGTAACCCTCTTCCAAAACTTGGTCAGACCCATCTCCCACTTGGGATCCCGCTTCTTGTCCAGCTGTTGCCGATTGCTGCTGCTGCAGCTGCGACTGTTGTGGCAGTTGTTCTTGCTCTTTTCGCTCCTGCTGCTCTCGCCCCTGCTGCTGCTGCTGCTGCTGCTGCTGCTGCTGCTGCTGCTGCTGCTGCTGCTGCTGCTGCTGCTGCTGCTCCTGCCTCTGCTGCTGCAGCAGCAGCCTCTGCTGCTGCAGCAGCAGCCTCTGCTGCCACACCACCTCCCGCTCATGCTGTGCCTGCAGCGCCGCTAGATCCATCAGTTGCAGAGACTCCTGTGCCTCGGCATTGGGAATGGCGTGTGCATTGGTACTTAGAATGGCGTGTGCTGAGGCACTTGGAACGGCGTGTGCAGCACTTGGAACGGCGTGTGCAGCACTTGGAACGGCGTGTGCAGCACTTGGAACGGCGTGTGCAGCACTTGGAACGGCGTGTGCAGCACTTGGAACGGCGTGTGCTGAAGACGATTCAGCAAGCGCCTCTAAGATCCGTCCCTCAGCACTTGAGATGGCGCGTGCTGCTCGCCCTGTGAGTGTGGTGCCTGACTGCTGTTGTGCTGCTGCTTGTTGTTGCGCTGCTGCTTGTTGTTGCGCTGCTGCCTGCTGCTGCGCTGCTGCTTGTTGTTGCGCTGCTGCTCGATTCTGAAGCTGTGCTAGAAACGCAGCAAAAGAGCGGTCTTGAAGAGACGGATAATGAAGGGAGGGAGTCTGAAGGGAGGGGCCTTGACCCTGCATTGCTCTCTGCATTACACCAGCCGCTGCCTGGTTCTGGGCCAGTGCTAGAAGAGATGCGATGGGGGGATCTTGAAGAGAGGGGTTTTGAAGCGGGGTACCTTGAAGGGAGTGACCTTGGAAGGAGGGGCCTTGAAGGGAGGGGCCTTGACCCTGCATTGCTCTCTGTGTTGCATGAGCTGCTGCTGGGTTGGGTTCAACGTTGGCAGCTGCTGCAAGAGGGCCGCTGGTTGAGCCGTGAGGGAATGCAGTGAGTCCTGGTTGGGCCAAAGGCACTGGTTGGAACATTGCCGCTGGTTGCACCATGGAAGCTCCCTGGGAGAGCGCCAGGAGCAGCTGTGCCTCTCCGGCTCCCAGGCGAGCACTGCAGGGAGGGAGGTTGGCAGGAGAGGGCAAGGGGAAGAAAGTTGGGTGGTTTCGTCTGGTTGGGTGTTTCAGTTTCGTCTGGTTGGGAAGTTAAGTCTGGTTTGGTTTGGTCGGATGTAACAGAGTGAGTCTGGACATGCTCTTCCAGGGTGGTTGATTGAGAGAAGAGAAAGAGAAGAACAAAGGAGGAAGCAGCACGGGACAAGGGGGACTCTAACTTGGCACCAGCACCGCTCTTGTGGTCAGTCTCTCGCAAGCGGAAATCACGGATTGCTCTCTCACCTGGCACCTCTCTGCAGTAAGATTCCCTGACTCTGAAGCATCTGCTCCGCCTCTCGCTCTGCGATGGGTAAAGGGAAACACTCAAACACGCGCGCGCGCGCACACACACACACACACAATTACACACACACTCACTCACACACACACACACTCACGCACACACACACACACACACACTCACGCACGCACACACACACACACACACACACACACACACACACACGCACGCACGTACACACGCACACACATGCATAGACACAGACACACAGACACAGATACAGACACCGACACACAAAAAACTCACTCACTCACTCACTCACTCACACACACACGCACGCACGCACGCACGCACGCACGCACGCACGCACGCACACACACACACACACGCGCGCGCGCGCGCAAAAAACGCCTCATCAGAAACATGATCGAAGAATCACAAGCAATGTCACTCTTTCAACCCCTACCACCCCATCCCCTTCTCACCCCTCTTTGCCCCTCGCTCGCTTCCCAAACCAACCATGCGGTGTGGGTTCATTACCCCCCCACGAAACTCTAGACACTGCACACCCATTGCAGCAGAATCTCTAACGCCAAGTCAATTAGATACTCATTCTTCCCCTCCCTCCCTTTCCCTCTTCCCCCCTCCCCCAACCAGCCTCGCGCCGTGAGTGTCCATGTATCCCCCAAGCGCCTGCAACTGCGCGGATCCCTTCCCTCAGAATAAGCACAGTGCAAAGTGACTCTTGATTCGAATCATAACGTGTCCCCCCCTCCTCCTCCCCTTCTTCCCTTTCCTCTCTCCCCCGCCCCCACCCCACTCCCAAACCCCTCCCCCACCTCCCCCATTTCCCCCTCCCCCAACCAACCTCGGCGGTGAGTGTTCATATGCCCTCCAAGCGCCTGCGACTGCGCGAATCCCTTCCCGCAGAATCTGCATTCATACAGCAACCCGCCGCCACTGCTGCCGCCACTGCCGCCCAACGAGCCTCCTGCCAGCGGCTGTAGCGGGGCGGCCATGCAGAAGCCCGGAGCGGCACGGTGGAAATCCCCAGCTGTAGCGGCGCTTAGGGAGAGGGAAGCGCGCAGGTCAGTGGGGATGACTGAAGGAGGTGGTGCTGTGGCCTGCCCTGCCATCATGTCGCCTCTCATCCCCTCTAACCTATTCATTTCATCATTCAGTCCCCCACTCATTCCTCCCCCCCATCGTCCTCCCATCCCGCCACTCATCCCCTCATTCATTCTCCCACTCATACCGCCTCTCTTCCCTCCTCCCATCCCTCCCATGCGTCCCTCCACCCCTCCACCCATATCCCAAAGCCCTCTTTCCATCTCCCCCACCAGAACCCCGCCCTCTATCCGCGCCCCCTCCCCTCCTTGCCTACTAAAACCCCCAGTATTCCCTCCTAGTAAACCCAATGCCTGCAACGTGCTGTGGCTTTCTGGGTGGGCAGCAGTAGCAGCAGCACTTGGGTTGGCAGCAGCAGCCGTAGTAGCAGCGGCAGTCATGGCAGCAGCAGCGTTTTGCTGGAGCAGGTGGGCTAGTTGAGAGTGCAAGTCACTCCCGTGTCTAAGAGCGTCTAGATCAGCAGCAGAATAACCTGGGGTAAATACTCCCGGAAATCCTTCTCCGCCTGCCACTTCCCCCCCACCTCGTCCTTCTCCGAACTCTGCATTTGCTCCTCCTGCTGCTGCGCCAAAGTTGCTGCCACCAAAGAACCTCTGAAACGTGGCAGCCTCGTGGCCACCCAAGTGACCTGCCACGTGGGCACCAAAATGGCCAGCCACGTGGCCGCCCAAGTGTCCAGCGGCAGCGGCTTTTACCTCATCTTCGCTCGGTAGAATCCGCCGCCGCTGCTTGCGACCGCGCTGCTCGCGGACGCCGCCACCACTACCGCGGAGGCCGCCGCCTTCTCCGCCAGCGGCGCCGCTCTCTGAGGCCGCCAGATCCAGCCGCCGCGTCAGACGGAGCCCAGACTGCCGGCTCTGCGCGCTGCTGCCGGTGCCGCCGCTGCTGCTGCTGCTGGACGCCGCCCCGGGAATCGTGTTGCCGGAATACGCGCGAGGGAGCTGGCCCGGGGAAGCGGCGAGAAGGGCGATTCTCCCGGGGAAGGGCGGAAGCAGGGCTGTGCGTGGCGGATCCGGGGTGCGGAAGGGACTTACTTGGGGAAGAACTGGTGTGGGATCACTCAGGGAAGCCGCGGGAAGCGCCTGCCGTTGAATAGCCCGGATGAAACGATGATAATAAGGATGATCAGGATCGTGTTCGGGCGAGCCGTCCATATTTCAGAGCAATAGAACAGTTTAGTTCCGTAGCTTTCAGCGTGTATAGGACTCGGTGATTCGGACTGCTATCTCATTGTAGAACAGTCGCCGGGTCGAGTCGGAAAAGGAAAATGATACTCGTCACATGTTGCAGATTCGGGTAGTAATCACCCGAATCAAAGGCGCATCTTCGCAAAACGCATCAATACTAGTAACTACGGCACTGCAAAAAGCGGTGTATTTGGACGTGAAATACTTCTTATCATCCATGGCCTCATACTTCCGCCGAACAGACTTGTTCCCGTGGGCGTAGTATCACCGCCTCCACAGCCAGATCTCATTCCTGCCCGGAACCCTGTCGTACGGAGAGTTGCGTTTGAACAGACACATGGCGCGCACATGCGTGGGGAGATGGTGCTATCAAATAGCCTGACTCCACGTCGCGAAACGAAGTCAAAAGACAGCCCTTCGATTTTCAATCACGAAGTGAACCAGCTGGAGGAGGCTGGCAGGCAGCCTGTTTGAAAGCCTGATAGTTGGTTCTGGATTCCCAGTGGGTAGCAGGGCTGTGTGATGAAATGATAGAAACGGGAATGCAGAGGTGGTGGGGGAGGGGGGGGGGGGGGGGGCGGGGCTATCCCAACCAATGGAGAGCTTCCCCTCATTCAGAGAAAACACAGCGCGCGCGCAACCCCCAGCGTGTGGAAATCCGCTAAAGTTCGCTCCCCGCCACCCACCCCTTGTGCTTGTTGGTGAACTTGCCCGCCTCACCGTCCTCCGCCATAATTCGCTGTCTGGGGTTTTCGTCTTGCTGCAGCGGCTCAGCTGTGCATGTGATGTGAGCTGGCCTGCCAGCTTGCTGTTCACCACCACCACCATGCTCCCAGTGGCTAGGGTTTCTGCTTTGCTGATTGATGTGGAGGGCTTCTGCTTGGCGAACATGTACACAAATTCGAGAAGACAACTCATCCCACGGCACATCAAGTTCACAATGAAGTGATAACAGCCTTGTATAGCGTCTCCGATACCAAAGTACTTTGTTCATTTTGTGAATGGAAATCATTTTTTTGCGTGTTACAGACTGAAAACCACGAACATGGAAAAACTAATTGGTCCCAAGTCACACACAAACGTCAGACCTTGAAGCGAATCAGGAACAGATCCGATTGCCCCCCACCTGGATATCGATTCGTTGTCCAGCTTGTTCTGGAGATTTGTCCAAAGGGTACAACTTTCTTTTGCAGCCTTCCTTTCGAATCACTCCAAATGCATTGGCGGCAGCGGGCTAACGAAATTGCACGTATGTATCAAGTTGCATTCGGAATTCCAGGGTAGGAACACAGCAAGTGTACAGTATGAGCAGGGCTCTCGATATGTTTGGGCTACCCTGCTGAATCAATATGTGACCGGTTAGGACGTGGGCCCAATCGAGTTTGATCGCCTCGATTACACGCGATCAACAATTTCCAGGAAGCCTGGAAGCCAATTTCATGCAATCGGGGGCAATCAGCTGATCGCGATCAACTGATCGCCCCAACTCGATCAGAGCCGATTTTCACCCCGATCAGAGTCGATTTTCCTCTATCACAGGCAATCACTTGATTGCATGTGATCGGGGACCTCAGCGATGCTTGCGAACCGGAGTTTACGATATTACAGGGAAACAAAAAACTTCGCCAGGCGACTTCTGGTCGCCAATCTCGCTAAAATCGGGAAGAAAATGCTAGGTAATTAAATCGTGCTTGCTGTGCAGACGCTAAGCATTTTCTTCGAAAAACATATTTGATCGAGCGGCTCGGGCATTGCGATCACAAGCAACCCGATCAGATCCGACCCGATCAAATCACTCGCGATCAAACCCGATTGGGCCCACGTCCTTAGGGCGTGTTTCTTTTGGTGTAGACGTTCGGAAAAAAGGTTGACCTTTTGCTGGTAACCAGTTTCGTTAATTTCGTTGGACACTGTTTGCGACGTTCTTGTGTCCATGTGAAATGTTTGAGAAAGCAAGAGGACACTGAACTGGGGTCGAGCTCGCTTTCGATTTTTCCGTCCACGTTTTTCCAATCGTGTGTTCCTCTGCTCACGAACGAAGCAGCAGCGAAAATTGCGACAGAAACGAACCGCATCATACAGAGTTACCGAAGTCGGATTCGGTCACGAACTCCTTTCTATAGACCAGGTAACCTACGAAACGAAGGCGCGACTCGGGATTTACTGTATAAAGTCGACCTTCGACAGTCGAACTTTGTTGGTCCATGTGCTTGATGTGAAAAAAGAAGGAAAAAAATGGAAAAGGAAGAAGGAAATTTATCGGGATAGTCGACAATAGGTCGACCAAGGTTCAAATGCATAAAGTCGAAAAAAAAACCATGAACTTTACAATACACTCCAAAAGATACACGCCCTTAGACCCCTGTGACCCATGGGCGCAAGGCTCCGCCACAAAGGACAACGCAATCCGCCCAGTTTTGCGCGCGCCATCTGCCCTGGAAAATTCTCTCTTGTCCAACCTGCCCGTGACTCGTACTGTGTGCTTTGGGTCACGCGAAATCACCGCCTTCGCTAGCGTAACTTCCTGGCCGACCGTTGACGGGCGTTGGTCGCTGTACCGGTTGCGACAGAATGGACGTCTCTACGTCCGTTTTGGCTTTAAGGTGTGTAGTTGCGTTTGACTAGGTTTTAACTTTGTCACTTTGTAATCTGTTTTTTCAATCATGTAGTCTTTTGTAGTTGTTTGTTACTTAATGTTCGGAGCACAGCTGTACACCGCATCTCCCGGTCACAAGTGTCAGTTGCCAACGCGCCTGAACAAAGCAACTTTTCGACCGCCATGGCTCACGCACCTCTGCGATGAATCAACAGCATTGACGCATCGCGCACTGGGGTCTAGTTCATTTGAACACGAAATATGTTACCCTATGCATTTTGCCACATCTGGACCATCCCACCCCTCGAAACACACTGCTGCGTCAACTACACCTACATGGCCACTTTATTGAATATAAGGTGTATGAATTCTGTAGATGCTGACCTGCCAATGACGCTCGTCAGGAATCCCATTTTTGCAGGTCCCAACCAATCACCCCTTGCCTTTTTGGTAGGAGATGCACTCAGATCCAGGCTTGGGTTTCCAATTATCGACAAGGGGTCATGGGTCCTGGGTCTGTCTCAGAGAGGTGTGTTGGTATGTATTGTTGTTTTCATGCTCATTTGCTCATTTTCTTTTGCCATTCAAGCTTACCAAGCTTCTTGCGCTCCTTTCATCCGCTGCTTTGTTCTGTTGTACACCTGCGTAGACTTGTACGACCCTTCAGCAATCCTCCTGAACGCGCGTGTCTATCGTATTGGCACATTTAGGTGGTAGAGGCTCCTCTTTTTTTTTTTGTCAGCCCGTGTTTCGTTGGCATCTCTCGTAGACCCTCTGCCAATTATACAGAGGTCGTTCGTTGTTGGGTATAGTGTTATCGGTATACCTCTCGCCGCTTGTAGGTCTTTTTGTTTGAACGCGTATGCACCCATACGTAGACCGCTTCTGCACCGAGATTCGCATTGGTCCTATGCTCATCGTTCAGATATAGAATGTACTTCGAAATTCGCGTCACGGTATAGCAATCCGTCTGCGCTACGATCGGCGACGTCCGTACGTTTCTTTCGTAGACCGCCTATACCTTAAAGTCTCGCTAGCCTCCTCTGCACGTTATTCGTTCGCCTTTTTCTGCACCCCGCTCATATTAGAACTTGTCTATCGGTTGCCTCCACAGGTAACCCAGCCGCTGATGGTCTAGGCAGACGGATGTAGTCCAGTTGGCCTGACCCCCAGGTGCATTTGTTTCCATTTGAAACCGCCTCCGTAACACTGCCCATCCTAACTCTATACTCATGATTCCCGACGGCATGCTTCCCGACTTGAACGAGGACGTTAGCGGCGAGGATCAGGACCTGGAAGAGGTCGTGCCAACACCCGTAGATGACCTCCTTCAAGAACGCGAGCTAGACGACCACTTTGACATGCCCGTGAATGATGCATACTACGACGGTGTAGGAGATCCTGAAATCACCATTGAAGATGTTGAGGAGAGTGAAGTTGTTGGTCTAGACTCAAACGACCTCGATCGCGAAGAAAGGTTCGAGGAAGACTTTGATAGGTCTGACAACGAAGACGAGGAGGCAAGCTTGGCGCGGAGGGCGCGCGCTAGGGATTCTGCCAACATTGTCGGGTGGGGTGGCGGAAGGTGTTGCGCGTCAGGATGCACCTCCTATCCGTGTCGAGCAGGGTGGGGTTGCGGAATCTTGTGCGTGACAGGATGCACCTGCGAACCCGGTCGAGGAGGGTGGGGTTGCGCAATCTGGTGCGCGACAGGATGCGCCTGCGAACATTGGCGAGAAGGAAGCAGCTCCAGAGCTCGACAGCAAGAAGGACCATGCAAAACTCCCGCTTCGGACAATTTCGGTCGACACGAGAAAGCACTACTGGTTCAACCACTTCAAGTGGTGGGTCATAATTTTCATGGCCACGCTGGCAGAGACCGAAGTCCCTCCAAAGGAGAGGCTGAAAGTGCAGGACGAGGTGGGGTTTATGCTGGGCAATGATAAAGGGCAGCACTGGGCTAACGTCACGGACCCCTGGGACATTCATCTGCACGGCCCGCGTGTGTCGAGATGGAGGGTCGTTCTGTACATTCGTTACCTATTCAACGAGACCGACGTACAGGCCCAGACGTTGCACTTGAAGATTCGACCCAACAAGAAAGTATACTTTGGTAAGTATGCGCGGGCGAGCACACCGTTCGTGATCAAGGCGAAGATGAACGCGCTGGGATGCCTCGGCAGAATCGAAGCCCGGCTATACGGCTACTCCATTACATCCACCAAGGAGTGGATAAAGGAGTCTCGTGATTTTCTCAAAGTCAAGTTGATCGAGCTGAACGACAAGCAGGTTGCGTGAGTGGTTTCGTTTTCGGCTTGCATTGATTATCATTTCTGTTCTACAAACCGGTTCTACTTCCCATTGTTTTGCTATGCAGAGAGGGTCGGGATCAGCACCGTGGATCTATGTCCGATTGCTATACGGCTAAGCAGTACAAGACTCTACATCATTCTGTTCTGCCGCCACTAATCCTTGACTTCTACAACAGGTCGAAGGCTGTTCCTTCACGCGATATGTGGAGGGTTCTTCAAGCGAAGGTTATGATTCAGCTTGGTCATCAATTTCTTGGAAGAGGATGCAGCATTCTCAAGATCCGACTTGGGAACATTTTCGTCCGCCAGACGCGAAGCACTTCGCACGTCGACGAGGAGCTTGACGTGTTCATTCTCGTCGTAACTTCCAGGAAAACGAAGACCAACGTGAACAACCAGCTAAGTCACCAGTTCCTTGCCAGGCATAGGGACTGGCAGCTCTGCGGGATGGGCGGAGTTTTCCTGTGGTTACATTTCCTAAACGACCAAATCCCTTTGCGCTACGGGCATGGCATAGTCGAGCCTCTCGACTTCTCCGACCCGCTCATCTGGACAAAGATGCACCTCTTTTTTACATTGAAGAGGCCGAATGACCCGGTGAAGCAGAAGCAAGATGAGATGCCATACAAGACGCATGGCAGCTGGATTTCCTGGGTCATGAAACAGGCGGAATGGGTGCTAAGCAAGGTGACATATGCGTTCCGTAGATCGGGAGCGCAGGGACTCAGTGACGATGGCTGCTCCGACAACGACATTGGCAGTCTTGGAGGCTGGGCGCAGGGGGAGATGCGGAGGTCCTACATCGTCGGCGTGCCGTTCCGGCCAGTCTTTCTGCAGGCAGGTTACAGTGGTGATCAGGGAGACTACTACTTCGGCAGATCCAAAGCAAAGCTTCCACGTCACAAAGACCCCAAGAAGGACGAGTGGCTGATGCTGCTAAAGCTCTTCGACCAGCACATCTTCCCGTGGGTCGAGGCGGATTTGAAGAAGGTATTACTAGGGCTCAAGTGTTCGTCCATAAATTCTCAATTCTACTTCAGTCTCAAATTCCCGTGACTATGCGTACTCGTCCTCCCCTCCCAGGTGCATGCTTGGAACGCCAAGCAGAAGGACGCGCAGAAGAGGCACTTTTCAGGGGTGAGATTCCTCGAGACGCTCAGAGACATCAGACGCCTCGTGGTTGCACAGGACTTGGCAATGATGTGGATTCACTGCGAAGTTCACCGGTACAAGGAAGAGGGCTTTCGCCGGTGCAAATGCGAGCGTCATCCGTACGTGCAAATGAGTCGGCTGTGCAGAGAGCCCTTGTTCCAAAAGTGGGACCTGTTGGTCGCGTACATGGACGCGGCGGGCCACAAAATGCGATAGACCAACCCAACTACAGCAAAGGCAGTAAGTGTCTTAGTTCTATGGTAGAAGTGCACATGTACCCACTATACAGCTCTAACTCGAATCTTTTTGCAGGACGCACAATTCCGCTATACCGCCGAGGAGAAGATGCAGAAGGTTTACATCGCGAACGATATGCTCAGGGAGGAATGCGGGAAAGTGCAGGGCGCCTACGCGCAGGTCGTGTCCAAGAACCGGAGCTAAAGGCAGCGCTCGCTAGTAGGGACCTCGCGTACGCTCAGCTGTTGGCAGAGTTTGAGGCCCTCAAGTGCAGTGGTGGAGCCTCTAGTCACGGTGTCAATGCCTCTGCAGATGGTGGCAGATCGTCCACGGTGAGTGATGGAGGCGCTGTTGGCCAGTCATCGGCCACACCACATGCAGTCTCTGCCGAGGAGGCATTCTTCAAACACGTCGTTGTTGAATGGCGTGATGCAAAGACCGTTGCAGCGGCATGGGCTCTGTGGGTGAAGAAGGCTCACATCATGAATGGACAGTCTCTGCGAGAAGTTCGCGTTGCGCTCGAGAAGCAGGAGAAGAACTTCTTCACCACGTACGCCACCTACGCCCCGGGAGGACCGAGCGTAATGACTACTGACACCTGTGACCGGAAAATGCGTCGCATGGCGACTGTCATGCAGGCCATTGAGACATTCAGGGTGGACGGCTCTGACTCTGCGACCGCAACAGCTGCTGCGCGTCTAGACTCTGTGCTGGCCAAATCAAACTTCAGAGATTTCACGGACGGTCTCGTACTCGGCGATGCTCTACCTAAGAAGCGTTCCCGTAAGGCGACGAAGGAGGGGAAGAGCACCAACGAGAAGTCGCAGTGGTATATCAGCTGGCTCCTTGTCAAAACGAAGCTGCGCGACAAGGCCTGGGCAAAGAAGCTCTTCCGTTGTGAATGGGAGACTATCAAGAAGGCGGAAGAGGTGAAGGAAGCTGCTGCTGCTACTGGTGCAGCCCAGGCACAACCTGCGTCGGCCAGGCCCGCTCACTAGACTAGAAGCTATGGGTTTGGCGTGTGCTTCATGGACCTTTGTGAAGAATGTTTTTTTTTTTTTTTTTTTTTTTTTTTTTTTTTTTTTTTTTTTTTTTTTTTTTTTTTTTTTTTTTCGGGGTCATTGACTGTTTGCGACAGTGGTTTTGGTCTATAGTTTACGACGCCTATTGCATACTGTGTGTAGTAGAAGCGTTATCATCGGCCATGACAACATCGCACTTGAATACCACAGTGGAGTACCTGATAGGAGACCAAGCCCTATACATGCACATCTTATTTCGCCGCCCCACCATATACCAGATCGGGTTATGTTTCTGTTGGGGAAAGCTATTCCTTAGCGACAAATACTGTGCATATAAAGCTCGCGAGACAATTGCGACATTGAATGCATCGGTTGCATAGACCAAAGACTGTTACGTGTGGGTTAGTCTCCTCATGATATTTTTACGTGCATTATTAGGTTGCTGTATAGGCATAAACCGGTTAGCTTTATGTGGTAGTTCAATTGCGCACTGCTTTGGGTGGATGATTGTATTCCGGTAAAAACATCAACGTATTTGCATTGGACGGTATAATATGCTTTGACGTCTTTAAGGGTGTAACTATACAATGAATTTCTGTACATCCAGGAATCACACCTGTAGACTGAGCTTCGCCAGTGTATCAACATTTGGTATATCTCGTCAGATTTTTAGGGGTATACTGGCCGGTCGCAATGACCTGTTGGTTTTTAAAACAGTAGATACATCTTCAAGTTATGACTTTCACAGTCTAGTTCCACAATGAAAGTTTCGAGCGGGTGAGTATACTCACTTGCTTTCTACAAGCGGCATCAAATGCTTCGAAGACTACTGCGCATTTGGATTCCGCGGTTGACTATCCCGCACCAGAATCACCACCGTATACTTCTACCGACACTCTGCACTAATCTGGGTGCTTGCTTTACCGTGGATCATATACTTTGTGGCACTGCCATTAGACCCGCACCTCATAAACTGCGCCCCGGACAACTTAGCTCGATGCGGTAGTTCAATTGCGGACTGCTTCGGGTGGATGATTGTATTCCAGTAAAAACATCAACGAAACTGTATTCGACGGTATATTCTGCTTTGACTGTTTTGAGGGTGTAACTATACAATGAATTACAGTACATCCAGGAATCACGCCTGTAGACTGAGCTTCGCCAGTGTATCAACATTTGGTATATCTCGTCAGATTTTTAGGGGTATTCTGGCCGGTCGCAATGACCTATTTGTTTTGAAAGCAGTAGATACATCTTCGAGTTATGACTCACACAGTCTGGTTACACAATGAAAGTTTCGAGCGGGTGAGTATACTCACCTGCTTTCTACAAGCGGCATCAAAAGCTTGAGAAAACAACTGCGCATTTGGATTCCGCGGTAAAACTACCTGGCACCTGAATCACCACCGTATACCTCGACCGACTCTCTGCACTAATCAGGATGCTCGCTTTACCGTGGATCTTATAGTTTGGTGGCGCTGCCATTGGACCCGCACCTCAAAGACTGCGCGTCGTACAACTTACACCTACACAATTGTCTAGACAGAGACTTATAATACAATGCAAATGTAAGTAGGAGTCACTATACCTCACAAAACACACACTACAACACAAAACAGCCCTAGATGTCCTCTTCCAGGCATGACCTCTTTGGTGGCGGAAAGGTTAGCGAGACGCCATGGTTAGCGACTAGCCCGCTTGAAGCCATGCTGCATTCACACCACCATGTCACAACCTTCCCCATGACGCGCGTCACATCCTTTGTGTTCCCTGCCCGTGTCTCTACGGGCACAATGTTGTACAGTGCATCTACCAGGCGCGTATACCAGCCATCTCTGTCCAGGGTAGTGCCACCGACAGATCTTAGCGCCTCTAGAACCAAGCACGCCACATCTGCCGCCCGTGAGGCAAGCCCTCGATCTTGGTGTGCGGCGAGGGCAACAGATGTGGCCCCCAACAGCCAATTCGAGCTGTCTACTCCAGTTGAGGCATCCCACATAACAGACATCGTTGCTGCCATTCCCACTGCGAATAGCAGCGCCGACACCGGATTTTCGCCAGTCTCCTTTCCCATGCCGTTCTCCAATGAGGTCCGCGCAATGCCCGCGCATACAGCTATTTGGAAACGCTCCCCCTCGGCGATATGCTCGTCCGACTTTTTGTGGACGAGCTGGAAACTGCATGGGATTCACACAAAATATGTACAAACATATTAGAACACGCTAAAACCACTATACTTGTAACCAACATTAGAGCAAATTGAAACTCACTGGTCTTGTTTGTCGAGGTGGAGCTCGTTCAATACACTCCACACGCCTGTCGGTATGTTTATTGCCCACTGCAGGTCTAGGTTCCATAGAGGGAAACGTGCGGGATTCATTCCATACGCCTCTATGTTGATATCGGGGAAGTATACGTTCCAACATAGGGCGACCGTGAAGTTTCTCTCCCAAACGGTAGTGTGCGAACCGAGATTCCGTTTCCTCCCGCCAACCGTCTGCTCCAACGTCCACTTGTAACCCGGGTTCCTTCCCTGCTTCCCGAAACCGCTGGCCCTGAACGGCTGCTCCACACCCCATCGCTTCCCCAGCTTATCTGGCACTTTGTCTTTGAGTGAGTCGTACACACCCAGCTTCACACCTCTCGTTTCCCGCTCTGTTACGGGTATTTTGTTGTTCGACAAATCGCCTTCCACGATTAGCCCCAGTAACTCGCCCGCCTCCTCCACGTCGAAAGCCGCCTCCTCAACTGGGACCGTCTTGTCTGATAGCACCACTGCGCACTCCATACTGTGCGGTGCTCCCCTCCCAGCCAGACTACGCTTTCTCTTCGACGATTTCTCGTTCTTCGCTCCATCCACCCGTCTACGTCGTCTTCTAGATCGGCTGCACCTCTCTCCCGCTGACCCCTCCACAAAATTCTCCTCATTTCCTCTCGACGTCACCTCCCTTCCCTCTGTCATTACCCTCCCCACACCCTCCACCGTTCTGTCAGCCCTCAACTCCATGTTTTGTATCCCATGCTGCAGCCTCTCATGCAACATCTCCTCCTCCACCTCCCTCGCCAGCTTTTGCCTCTCCGCTTCTATTGCGTTCTTCTCCACGTCCCTCAGCCTCTGCCGACGTTCCAACTCCAGTCTCTCCTCCTCCGCCTCTTGTTCAAGGCGCCTCCTATTTTCCGCAACCCTGGCTAGCGCATCTTCCCGTTCTGCTTGCCTCTTCTCCTTAAGCTGTCTGGCCAACATGGCCACCTCTTCTGCCTGCCGTCTCTCATTGTCCGCATAAGCAATTCGCTCCATCTCCAGACGTTCTGCCTCCTCTGCACGCCTCTTGTCGTCTTCCTTCACCCTCCTCTCGCTCCTTTAACGCCTTCGCTGCGGCTTCCTCCCGCCTCTTCGTTGTCTGGTCCTGCTCTACCCGGACCCTTTCCGCCTCCCTCTGCTCCCTCACCTTCTCTTTCCGTTCCTTCCGTGCAACAGCTGCTTTGCGTTTTGTCTCACCGACCACCCCACGCTCCGCACTATGCTCTCCCCCCTTGTTCACCTCACACCTCGCGGGCTTGACTCTCGCTCCATGCCCGCCCGATCTGCACCCCTCACCTCCACCTTCCGCCTGACGATCCACCAGCTCACTATCGCCATCACCACCCAACCACCCGTTGACAACACGAGCAGCTTCAACGTCGTCGAGATTTGGTGACACCGGAGTTGCTACAGTGGTTTGGTGCAAGGTGCGCGCTTCCGCTCTTATCGCCTCCCTCATCGTGTCCTCTACCGTCCGCGCGATGCCATTCTTGATGTCCTCTACCGACTGTCGCAAACCTGCATCCACCGAATGCCGCATACCTTCCAATGCCAAAGCCACGTCTGCCCTCATATGCGCCACAATTGACCTCTCCAGAGGTGCCATTTCACGACGGACTGCCTCCCTCGTCCCACCCTCCATTCGCTCCTGCATCCCGTCTAGCTGGGTCAAAATCCGCCTTCTCTCCTGTGCCGCCAATGCAGCCTCGTTTAACCAAACGGCATTTGCCAAGTCAAACTCTCGCAGAGTATCTACCGAGTCCCGGTAATACTGCTCAAGCCATTCCCCGTGGTTGTTGATCATGTTACGCAAGTCTTGGCATACTGTTGTGATACGCGCTGATTGTTCCGATGATGCTGTTGCTAGAGTACGCGCGACGAGCGTCAACCGCCGGAGCACCTCTATGGGGGTCAAGTTGAACGTACCCTCCTCAACGAAACCCTCTGCTGTCTCTACCATTATAGGGGTTGCTTGCCCCATTATACGACGTAGTGCAGCCTCTGCTTCGTCCCATTCTCGGTCCCTCTCCAATGCGCTCGAGTCACCGGCTCTCTCCTGTCCTCGCACGGACTCGTTAGCCGCAACCTGCCTTTCCCGCCTCGCCCCCCTCTCTCTCGCCAGTTGTGACTCGGTTTCCGCCTGTTGAACCGCTACCGATTGACGCAGCATTTCAATCCTTTGCCGCGCAGTCGCACGACGAGATACCATCTGCTCCGCCCGCTCGTCCCGCCTCCTATCCTCATCCAGTACACTCAGGCTTGCTCCTCCCGTGTCTACTCTATCACGCCCTACTGCCCTTTCTCCAGCCTGTATCTCCTCAGCCATTCGGTACGCATGTCGCCTCAAGCTCCTCACCTGGCTGTTCCGAAGCTCCTCGTCTACTCCATCCCCTCTGGCCACTCCCAAACCAATACGATTCGCCTCTGGCACTTCCGCCCCAACATTTTCATCCACGCTCACCCGCACGCCTTACTCTGTCACTGGAATCACGCATCTCATCCCTTACGTCGAGGTCCTCCTCTATCTCCATACGATCATTCTCCAATGCCGACGCCCTCACCCTCCGCTCCTCTTCCCGACGCCTCTCCTCTGCCGCCGCTCTCTCCCTCTGCTCCTTCTCTTCTGCCTCCCTTCGCGCGTCCTCCTCCCGACGCCTCTCCTTTGCCGCCGCCCTCTCCCTCTGCTCCTTCTCTTCTGCCTCCCTTCGCGCGTCCTCCACCCGACGTCTCTCCTCTGCCGCCGCCCTCTCCCTCTGCTCCTTCTCTTCTGCCTCCCTTCGTGCGTCCTCCACCCGACGTCTCTCCTCTGCCGCCGCCCTCTCCCTCTGCTCCTTCTCTTCTGCCTCCCTGCGCGCTTCCTCTTCCCAACGTTTCTCCTCTGCCGTCGCCCTCTCCCTATGGTCCTTCTCTTCTGCCTCCCTGCACGCCTCCTCTCCCTGACGCCTCTCCTCTGCCACCGTCCTCTCCCTCTGCTCCTTCTCTTCTGCCTCCATGCGCGCTTCCTCTTCCCGACGTCTCAAATCTGCCGCCGCACGCTCCCTCTCCTCCTTCTCTTCTGCCTCCGCCCGTGCTTCCTCTTCCCGACGCCTCTCCTCTGCCGCCGTCCTCTCCCTCTGCTCCTTCTCTTCTGCCTCCCTTCACGCCTCCTCTTCACGACGCCTCTCCTCTGCCGCCGCCTTCTCCCTCTGCTCCTTCTGTTCTGCCTCCCTTCGCGCCTCGTCTTCCCGACGTTTCTCCTCTGCCGCCACCCTCTCCCTCTGCTCCTTCTCTTCTGCCTCCGTGCGCGCATCCTCTTCCCGACGTTTCTCCTCTGCCGCCGCCCTCTCACTCTGCTCCTTCTCTTCTGCCTCCCTGCGCGCTTCCTCCTTCCGACGTCTCAAATCTGCCGCCGCACGCTCCCTCTGCTCCTTCTCTTTTGCCTCCCTTAGCGCCTCCTCTTCCCGACGTTTCTCCTCTGCCGCCGCCCTCTCCCTCCGCTCCTTCTCTTCTGCCTCCCTTCGCGCCTCCTCTTCCCTGCGCATCTCCTCTGCCGCCGCTCTCTCTGCTCCTTCTCTTCTGCATCCATTCGCGCTTCCTCCTCCCGACGTTTCAAATCTGCCGCCTCCCTCTCCCTCCGCTCCTTCTCCTCGGCCTCCCTTCCCATGTCCTCCTCCCGACGTTTCTCCTCTGCCTCCGCCCTCCCCCTCTGCTCCTTCTCTTCTGCTTCCCTTCGCGCTTCCTCCTCTCGACGTTTCAAATCTCCCGCCTCCATGCTTGTAACCTCTTGCCGACTCCTCTGCTCTGCAGCCGCCCTCTCTTCTGCATTCCTGCGCGGCTCCTCTTCCCGACGCTTCTCATTAGCCGCCCCCCCCTCCTGCTCTTTCTGCTTGGCCTCCATTCGCGCATCCTCTTCCCGACGTTTCTCAGCAGCCGTTCTCCCCCTTTGCTCTCCATCTTTTGCGTGTGGGTTTAGCGCGACCTGTTCCCGACGCATATCCTCTGCGGCCACTCGCTCCAGTTGCTCGTTCTCTCCCTCGACCGGACGTTTCCTGGTCCTTGGCAACCTGGCCTTCCTGTAAACAGAGTCATGTTCCTCAACTCGCGAAAGGTTTCCTTCATCCGTCGCCTTGCCGCATATTATTCGCCTCATCGTACTCATTGCGTATTGCAGTCTCACGTACTCTACGCGCATAGGTAACCTCTTCCATCCGTTCACTCTCCGCCATCTCACGATCATCCCGTACAGCGCAGAGCTCCGTACCATCCATCCTTTCTTGTACCTCCAGTGCAGAGCTGTGCTCAGAGCCTTCTCGGCCGCCCCCAATATCCCTAGATGAACCCTGCCTCGACGCCAGGGCATCATCCTCGTTCCCCTCCTCCTCCTCCTCCTCTTCCTCCTCGTCCACCTCATCCACATCATCATCCACCGCATCATCCACCTCATCCGCATCATCATCCTCCTCCTCCTCACCTCATCCGCATCATCATCTTCCGCCTCCTCCCTCTCATCCGCATCCTCTTCTTCAGCCTCCTCCGCTTCCACCTCCTCCTCCTGTTCGAATCCTTCGTCAGATTCAAGTGGCTCCACTGAATCAATGGTTCTGACAGTTCCCGCATCAACCGTATCGAAGTACGCCCTGCAATCTGTCACAAGGAAGTTTTCAATGCCGAAGCATGATTTCTTGCCAAACCACAGATTAATCATCCTCTCTTCACTGGGCAGGGAAAGAAGGTCCCCCCACTTGCGGAGTCTGGGGGTGCGGAGCCTGCGGGTGCTGAGTCTGGGGGTGCTGAGTCTGGGGGTGCTGAGCCTGGGAGTGCTACGTCTGAGGGTACTGAGCCAGAGGTTGCTGCGACTGAGAGTGCTACACCTGGAGGCGCTCTTTCCTCACAGCAGCTGCGTGAGTGGTACTTACAGTACTGCAGCCTCAGGAGAGGTGCTGCTGGAGCTCGTGCTCGTGCTTCCCCTCCTAGGCGGGAGCTGCCCTCTCCCCATCGGCTCCGAGAGTGGTACGCTCGTCGCTGCAGTCTCCGGAGTGGCGCTACTAGTGTCGCGGACCCTGGAGCTGGAGGTGCTGCTGGTGCGGAGGTGCTGCTGGTGCTGGTGCTGCTGGAGCTGCTGGAGGTGCTGCTGCTGCTGGCGGTGCTGCTGGCGCTGCTGGAGGTGCTGCTGGTGCTGGTGCTGCTGGAGCTGCTGGAGGTGCTGCTGCTGCTGGCGGTGCTGCTGGTGCTGCTGGAGGTGCTGCTGGTGCTGGTGCTGCTGGAGCTGCTGGAGGTGCTGCTGGAGCTGCTAGAGGTGCTGCTGGTACTGGTGCTGCTGGTGCTGGTACTGCTGGAGCTGCTGGAGGTGCTGCTGGTGCTGGAGCTGCTGGAGGCACTGCTGCTGCTGGCGGTGCTGCTGGAGCTGCTGGAGGTGCTGGTGCTGCTGGAGGTGCTTCTGGTGCTGGAGCTGCTGGTCCTGGAGGTGCTCGTACTGGAGGTACTGGAGCTGCTGGGACTGGAGCTCCTGAGGGGGTTGGAGCTGGAGTTGCTGAGCGGCCGCGGCCGTACTACGTTCCGCTCCTTCAGCAGGTTCTTGGTCTCCTGCCCTCTACTGGTCCTACTCCTCCCCTACTGAGTCCACCGCCTGTCCAGTCACAGTCACAGTTACAGCCTGCCTCTCCGCTGCCTGGTCCTTCTCCTTACACTGCGCCGACGGGTAGTCTTACTGAGCGTCGTGAGCCTGAGTCTCGTCCTCCGTCGCCTGAGTCTAGTCCAGAGTCGCCTGAGTCGCGTCCAGAGTCGCCTGTCCGCGCTGTCCGCGCTGGACGTTGTGCTCCGCGTCAGCGTCCTCCTCCTGTCCTTGGCACTCACTATATGACCCTGCGTCCTTCCACTGCTCCACAGCGTGTCCCTCTGCCGTCTCCTCCTGCGTCCTCTCTTCCTGACGTTGCTGACCCGCCGTCAGACCTTACTCGTGCTGTCAGTCCTACTGTCGCGCGTCTCCTTGCCACTGTTGTCACTGACCCCACCTTTGAGTCCTCTGCTGCGTCTGCTCTAGTCGCTGAGCTTGTTGAATTTGCTGCCGCCTGTCGTCTAGACTACGCCGCTAGCCTTGTTGCTGAGTCTGAGTCTGTCTGTCCTCCGTTCGTCGGGGGTGAGTGTGCTCTTGGCACGGACGTCCTTGACGACAGACAGGAGGAGTTTGAGTGCTTTGCCGCTGCTTTACCTCATCACGTGTCCATGCTGATTGCCCCTGAGGGAGACCCGGATGCACCAGACATCCCGACCCCACACTCTTACGCAGAGGCGATGGAGGGTCTCTATTCCTCTCAGTGGCAAACAGCCATGGACGCAGAGATGGCTTCCTGGAAGTCCACAGGCACCTACGTCGACGAGGTTCCCCCACCTGGGGCGAACATCGTCAGTGGCATGTGGATTTTCAGGGTGAAGCGGCCGCCGGGTTCTCCGCCTGTCTTCAAGGCGCGTTACGTTGCACGAGGCTTTAGTCAGCGAGAGGGAGTTGACTTCTTCCAGACCTTCTCCCCAACCCCGAAGATGACCACTCTTCGGGTTCTGCTGCACGTCGCTGCTCAGCGTGACTACGAGCTCCACTCTCTTGACTTCAGCACAGCTTTCCTACAGGGCAGCCTGCACGAGGAGATCTGGCTGCGCCGCCCACCTGGCTTCACTGGGTCGTTCCCTGCTGGTACCCAGTGGAGCCTCCGGCGGCCAGTCTACGGTCTCCGCCAGGCACCCCGTGAGTGGCACGACACACTCAGGACGACTCTTGCTGCTCTTAGGTTTGCTCCTTCTACTGCTGACCCGTCGCTGTTTCTACGCACCGACACCACTCTGCCACCGTTCTACGTTCTAGTGTACGTAGACGACTTGGTCTTTGCTACTGCTGACACTGAGGCACTCGCCCACGTGAAGTCGGAGCGGCAGAAGAGACACACGTGCACAGACCTGGGTGAGCTGACAAGCTATCTTGGCTTGCGGATCACCCGGGACAGAGCACAGCGCACCATCACCTTGACTCAGTCACACATGGTGCAGCAGGTCCTTCAGCGCTTCCGCTTCACGTACTCCTCGCCTCAGCCCACTCCTCTGCCTACCGGTCACTCGCTCTCAGCTCTGCCTTCGGATGAGTCCGTAGAGCCGAGTGGCCCGTATCCAGAGCTTGTGGGCTGCCTCATGTACCTGATGACTTGCACTCGACCTGACCTTGCATACCCTCTTAGCATCCTAGCACGCTATGTCGCTCCTGGCCGTCACCGGAAGGAGCACATGGATGCCGCTAAGAGGGTGTTGCGCTACTTGTGCAGTACGTCGGGCATGGGGCTTGTGCTTGGAGGACGGCGCGACGTTGTCCTCACTGGACACTCAGACGCTTCTTGGGCTGACGACCAGGCTACTCAGCGGTCGTCTCAGGGTTACACCTTCAGCCTTGGCTCTGGCTCAGTTTCTTGGCGTTCTACACGCTCGTCTTCAGTTCTCAGCTCCAGTTGTGAGGCTGAGATCTACGCCACAGCCATGGCTGCCCAGGAGCTACGCTGGCTCACCTACCTGCTGACCGACCTAGGAGAGCGGCCTCGTTCTCCTCCAGTGCTGTACGTCGACAACAAGGCCGCCCTTGCCTTGTGTCAGGAGCACAGACTGGAGCACAGAACGAAGCACATCGCTCTGCGCTACTTCCTTGCTCGAGAGCTGCAGCAGCGTGGTCAACTTCGTCTTACCTACGTGGCCACTCGGGCCAACACTGCTGATGTGTTCACCAAGGCGCTTCAGCCTTGTGATCATCAGCGTTTCTGTACTGTTCTAGGCCTAGTGCCTACTGTCCCTCACTTGCTCACTTCTTGACTCTGCTTGTACTGTGATCTCTATATATATACCTGCATGCTTACACTTGCTAGGTTGTGATCACTGTACCTCTTATTATATTATCAAACTGCATGTGAACTGGTCTTGTGACCGCTTGCTTGTGCTCGGAATTTGTGTGGTATCCTTGAGATCCACCCTGAGCTTGTTTTGCTTTGCCTTGACTGGTCTTGTGACCATCTGGTTGTCTCCCACTTTGCCTATGGGGGTGTGTCAAACATTGTATATGTTTGTGCTTTGTAGGCTGTAGTGGGTTTAGCCTTAGGGGGTACAATCTCTAGGGTTTCATACTTGTACTCCCAACTTTCCTAGTTCAATCATTCTCGTTCACTTCTAGTTTCTAACATGACTGTGCGATGTAACGCGTGATTTCGGATCGAAATGGAGAACGCGTGTACGGAAATCCGAGCCGCGTGGCCTTATAAGATCGTCCGGCCTCAGAAGTACAACGAGGCTAATCCTCGCTCCGGGAGGCATGTTGATCCTGCGCAAATAGACACATATAGTTAGAAACGTAGACACGTCGGCCAAGCCCGCACACAACACTTAGCCCGAAAAATCTCACCGCGTGAGGAGAGGGAACAACACAATCTGGTAGCCGAGAAACGACCGACACCCAGAAAAGCTGAAGGGCTGCAAGGGATTCCTGCTCCGCAGTTCTTGAAGGTGGGAGGGCGGGACAATCTTAATCCAGCGACGCTCTTTGATCGTCAGCTTAGTCCAAGCCACTTCTCTGCAGTAACCATCAAAACCACTTGTGTGAGTCGTAATCGCACAGGTCAAAGAACTCCTGTACATGCGCGAGTGATTAAACCAGGGTCACGTGTATAACAAAGGTTGACAATTAGGGTCAAACATCTTACTGAAGAGCAAAGACGAGCATAGCCTCGTTCCATTCATGGTCATGTGAGCACCATGACTCGTACGATTCCCTAGCGAGACGAACCCGCACGCCGCAGCCTCGCGAAAGCATGTGTGCAGACATAGGACCTGGACTACCCAGGCAACACGGCCCGCTCTATGACACGGACGTCACAAACTGCTCTTACGGGAAAAACTATTACGCACTGAAAGGAGATAGTGGTATCTGGCCTAAGAGTCAACGTGGCCAAGTATCAAGACTAGAGTGCGGTGCACAAATTGGAAGGGCGTTGCTAGAACGTCTTGAAATAAGCTCGGTGATTGAGAATCAAGAATTTGTATAGAAGTTGGTCGCAGCAATGGCGAAATCCACTAGATGAGCTATGTAGTGTTAGGACGTATCCGCATTTGTGTATTACACGGGTTTCATGGAAAGCGCGACTTACAGTTACCGCTGAGCCTAGCGCCAATCACCCGCCAAAAGACGTACCATGTGCCACTGCACTTTTCGCTTCAGTGAATGAGGACTGCAACCTTATTCGGAATTGGCCGTCGCCTTCGCGATATTGGGGAATATCCATAGACTCTCTGAGAACATGACACGTCTGCAATAGGAGTTGTATTCGACGAATCATTTTGATCAAAGTGTCAACCTAATTTAACGGCGCAAGTGCGTGGCATGCAGAGGCCGGACCTCTGTACGCCCGTTGGCCAAACTACGCATGTATGACGGAAGTCAGACCAGGCATCAAGACTGATTTCCCGCCATCTCGGCACCGACTCGGTAGAGAAATTGCCTCGCTTCAAGGTTGAAGCAGTATATGCACTGTTCCGACCGACTAGTGACACTATTGTCTCTGGTGCATAACAAAGATCTACGCATTCGTCGTGCACTCTTCTACGAAGCATCGTAGAACATTGTCCTCGTCATATCGGGATCAATATTTTTACAGCTGATGTTGTAAAAGTGGTATTATGTAAATGCACCCAGAGAGTCCTATACAAAATCTAAAACAAGTACAAGCAAAAGCGACTAAGCAAGGTAGGACATAATATCCCGGATCATGCCTTCTCCGCACCGACTGCACTCGTGCTCTCGTGCGTGCCACGTTTTGCCATGATAATCCCGATCGCAACACCGTGCAGATCATGCAGTCCTTTTGATGCCATGCTGCATTGGCACCAATATGTAATCGCTTTGGCCACGACTCTGGTCATAGTCTTTGTCGCCTCGACGCGAGAGTCGGGCTGCAGTTTGTCGAGAAGCGCGGCTGCAAGGACCGGGACCCAACTTTCCTTGTCTAACACCCTCCCATTGACAGACCATAGCGACTCTACCGCGATGGCTGCAACCTCTGCAGCTCTCGCGGCGATCTTACGGTCTAGGTGTGTTGCTAGTGCCACAGTATTAGCACTGGTCTGCCAAGTGGTACTCTCCTTTTGTGTGGAGGCATCCCACATCACCGACATTGTTGCCGCCAGCCCAACCGCATGTTCCAGGACTGAGTGGCCCTCGTCACCAGTAACACCGCCCACGTCCTTAAGAAGTGCCGTGCGCGCGACCCTTGTGCATAGCGCAGTCTGGTACCTATCCCCCTCCTTCATCCGCTCGGATGTCTCTTCACGCACGATGACGAAGCTGCCACAGCCACAGATTAACCATGGTCAAAGCGAGGATGGATGGTATAAGCGGGAATTATGGTATAGGCGAAGAATGATGGTATAGATATTGTTAATTAGAAGCGTACTTATCGGGTTTGTCTAGATGTAGCTCGTTGATGCAGCTCCACACGCCTGTTGGCATCCGGGACGTAAACTGCAAGTCATTCTCCCACAGCCTGAACCGAAAGGGGATTCATCCCGTATGCCACGAGGTCGACGTCGGGGAAGTATACCTTCCAACATACCGCCACCGTAAGATTCCTCTCCCATACCTGGCTATGCTGTCCCAAAAACCGCTTCCTCCCTCCCACAATCTGCTCGGAAGTCCATTTAAGCACCCCTCCACTCATCCGTTTGGAGTATCCACACGCTTTAAATGGCAGCTGCACACCTCGCCTCTTACCCAGACTATCCACCTCCGCCTTAGACTGGTCCTGTGGCTTCTTAATCTTCACTCCCTTTATCTCTACCTCTAATACCTTGACGTCTTCATTCCTTTCTGCGTTCGCAGTGTGCAACCCCTCAAAACGCTCCTCCAAGGCATCTGCCCCGAGGCCCTTTTGCTCTGATGCTTTACCCCCCTCAGCTGCATGCGTGACGGTCTCGTCCACACGCTGCCTCTTTGCCTTTGATCCCTCCGCCCCTAGGTTCCCGTCCTGGTCTCGATCCCCGCCACCATCTTGTTCGTGAGGTGGGGATGATGCTAGAGCCAGCAGGGCCGGGCCGTGACAGTAGGGGCCGCGCCAGTAGGGGTGGCGACGGCAGGGGGGCCGCGACAGTAGGGGTCGCGCCAGCAGGGGCCGCGCCAGCAGGGGCCGCGCCAGCAGGGGGCCATGTCAGCAGGGGCCGCGCTAGCAGGGGCCGCGTCAGCAGGGGCCGCGTCAGCAGGGGCCGCGCCAGCAGGGGGCTGCGACGGGCTAGGGCCGCGACGGGCAGTAGGGGCCACTACGGGCAGTAGGGGTCGCGTCCTACAGGGGCCGGGATGGGCGACAAAGGGGCCACGACGGGTAGGGCGCGATGCGCGCTTCGTTGGCGGCTTGTAGACTAGCCAATTGCTCGTCACATGCCCGCCTCTTGGCTTCCCGTTCTCGTTTGCGGCGTTCGAATTCGGCTTGTTCCCTCTGCTCCTCCTCCTCTAACCTCTTTCGGTCCTCGTCGTATTTCTTCAGCCCCGCCGCCCTCTCCGCATTCCTATCCGTCCCCATATGCCCAACAAGCTCTGTCGGCCCTTGTGACATTGTTTGCACCACAGAGTCATCTTCTCGTTGACTATCCGCTGCTGGTGGTCGCTCACCCTGCTGCTCTCCGTCTCCCAATTCTGAGCCAGGCATCTTATCATCGGCAACTGTGCGGTCTGTCCGCGTCCCACCTTTCGCCATATGTGGTCCGAGCACAGGTATACTGGCGCGCCTCTCGTGCTCTGCTCTCAGCATCTCCTTATGCTCACCACGCTTATGCCTTCGCGCCCTCCTTTTCCCTCTTGCGGCCGGCCCATCTAACGCCTCAGTATCCCGCCCTTCTGCCCCTGGCTGTGCATGTACGACATCTTTGGCCTCGCCACCCAAAGGCCCTTTTGCCACATTCCCCGCCGCTGTGGATGACGGATGTGTGTCCTTCTGCAGCTTTCCGCCAGCTCGCACGGACTCTAACCTCTCCTCTACCATGAGAGCAATGTTAGATTTCAAATCATTCGATGCCAAATGGAACCCTGCTAGTGCAGATTCTACCGCCTCCTTTACAGTGTGCTCTGTGGACCGCATTAACAGCGCCGTTTTCCGTCTGACAACGGACCGCGTTGCCAAAACTAAGCGATTCTGGATCCTGTATAGGCCTCCAATGTGCAAACCATTCTGTCTCACCCTCTCCTTGTCGCCAACACCCCCGCGCGAAGAGTTGGTCAAAGGCCTCTTAGAATCTGATCCCGTCTTGTTCTGCACCTCTTCCCTATGCTGCGTCGGGATCCCATCTGCACTGCGGACCGATTTTCCTGGCGCGCGCTGACTGTCGTGCTCCGCTTCAGTGGTAGCATGGCGGTTTGTACCCTTTTCCTGCATACGCATAGGGTCTCCCTCTACCAGAGGACGATTCGCAGCTTCTCCTACTCGCGCACACTCTACAGCTTCCGGTTCGGCTGACTTGCGTGCATGCTCCCCCACCCGATTCGACTCCGCCTCTGCACCCGCCCTAGCAGCGACATTACCCTCCACCACTATGCGTGCAACTTCCTCGACTCTCTCCCCTCTCTCGTCCTCCGTCGCCACATTATGAGCACTCCCCCCTTCATCAGTGACCGCCCCTCCATCCAGTTGCTTTGGCGGTGCATCTCCGATGCACGTCTCATGGGCCCCCTCCGCACCAGTACGAGCTGCATGATCGGCCGCTGGGTTCGGACCGCGACCGCCCCCACCCGCTAACGTTGCCTCCTCAACCGTGCTCCCTACGCCTTGGTCCCTAGCAGACACTCCGCCCTCGGAGACTGCATTATTCCGTGCCTGGTCTACAACCCGATCCGGGCGTGCCTGATCTTGCAATATCGACTCCTGCGTCCCGACTACCTTTTCCAGCTTCTCCTCTACAAGATTCTCAACAGCCTGTGCCTCTACTTTTTCCGTCGCCTCGGCCACCACCTCCTTCACAGGCTCCTCTTCTCGGTTCTCCTCGTCCATCTCAGTTGCATCGTCATCCTCCTCCCCCGAATCTGACGACCTTAAATCCTCCCCAGAGTTTGAGTCTATCTCATATGGCAGTTGCATCTTGGTGGACGTGGCGGTGTTGTCAAAGAATGCCTCACAAGTGCTCTCCAGAACTTCCTGTATGTCCACTTTGGAATTGCTGCCGTGGCCAAGGTTGACAAATGAAGCGTTGTGAGGGCGAGATAATACCTCATCCCACATGTCCAGGAGTTTGCCCCACTGATAAGCAACCTGCAGGCCAGATCCAACGAGCTTCTCTCCCTCCACGTATCCAACCTGCGTAGAGCGAGAAGGGTGGACTGTGAGCATAGTTGATGGATACAACAGATTGCCATAGAATACCCTACAGTACATACCGATCCACGCTGCAGAGTGAGGTCATCGAGCATTGCGTTCATGTCTCTTAGGACCTCTTGTTCATGACTGCCTCCCGGATTGATGCCGCGAGTGTACTCTACCGGCAGTTGCAACTTTAACCACCTGAACGCACATAAGTTGTCATGCATGCGTGTATGCGCATTTTTAGTGGTGATGGAATATTCACAGTAGTTGTCGACGGAGAATTCGTAAAAATATGCAAACCACAACTAACTCACTTGAAAACCTTTATCGCAAACTCCGAGTGGCGGTGAGAAGGGATTTTACTTTTCGGATCAAAGTGAATCACACGCGTGCGGTATTTCTCGTTCCTCTCCGCCAGCAGATCTACGGGCCGTACCAATAGGAGGAGGCTGATCTGGCCATGTGGTGCCCTATTGATGCTGCATATAGAAACACAACGTGGTTACTACATCTGCCATGCATAAAATTGCAAGACTTATAAACGAGCCAAAAAGCCACTTACCTAGACCACAGAGGGAAGACCACTGCGTCGTACTTGAGCAGAATGTGGCGAGATTGGCTGCTTAGTGGCTCGGGCGGTGTTTTATCAATATTCTCCAGGATTGCAGACGTTGATATTATCTTGATTCCATCCCTCGTTTCCACGTTGCGCAACATCTGCTTCGTGATTACCCTGTTCATTTACAGGGGAAGGCAATAATGAGGGAAGAGCATGTTATACCAGTTCTTTCAAAAATGGTATGACATAGAGTATAGTAAAGCGAATCTGGTAACTCAAGTGCTAAACCCAGTGAAGAGTTTCATACTCACACAAATGCGAAGTTTAGCATCGCCTCGGTCCACTCCTTCTTGGCGCTGCATAAGGCATGATAGGACGCCCTAGATAGCGCGACGCGAATGCCACATCCTCTAACCTCCAATAGTGCGCTCATGGTTTCTAAAGCCTCTACGGATTCATAAAACTACTTGCCCCACAGAAATCGCTGCGACTGTTCAAAAGCAGACGGCGGTTTGAAGTTTCCCACGATATTTCTCGGCGCAGAGCGGGAGTGATTTACGTCGGCGCACGCCAAGATGACATAAGGGAGTCGGCGAGGTGAGTCGAATGTATTGGAAGCACTAAGAGCAAAGGGCGGACAACCCTAGTATACGGGAATGCATTGGTTTCTCGACTACGGTGCCTTACATCGCAAACCGATTGGGAAGTTTTGCCTGCTGTTCTAGAGGTGTCCGAGTCGCGCATCACATTCTCTTCCATCGAGGCCGGTTTTCCGCCAGCATGCATTATGCAACGGTTCAATGCTCGCCACGTGTTACACCGGATAACCATACGCCGCAGGGTTTTGGTTGTCACGTGGGGCTCATCTAAAACACAGGATGAGGATATCCTAGACCAATCGCTCTTTTCTCGGATTTCGCGTCATGCGAATGCATAACGTTTTCGTGGGCTGCCCATACAAAAACAACCCTCAAGCAAGCCAGGTTCGTGCATTGCTGCCACGTAGAGGTTCCGTCCTCGGCATGCCTTCCCCTAGACAGGACGTCTGCTGTGTAGAGCAGCTCTCTATATACAGCCGGTTCGGTAAACAGAATAAAGAGTATAAAACTAAATTACAGCCCATATTGCCATACACCTTTTATGTTATGCGGTGAACTACAGAGCATAAAAACGTGGGGATAGTCCATTTGGAGACTAATGACAGTCCCGTATCATTTACAGCTCAAATTCCGAATTACTAAACGCATATTAACACATAATCATTCGTGCTGCCCTCCTCAGCACAAAAAGGTGTTTTCCACTGCAGAACAGAGGTTGGTAAGCCTGACTAGGCGTAATGGAATGAGGTGAAAACGATAGGGGAGTCAATGTAGTGTGTGATGACATAACCCTATCATTTACCGCTCACTATCTCAAGTAGAGGTTGGTTTTCAAAACAACATCCTAAGAGCAGCCAATTCAGCACAAAAATGTGAGTTTCAGTGCAGACAAGAGTGTGGAAAGCCTATGTAGACATATTGGAATGACATGAAAACGATAGGAGAGTCAATTTGGAGTGTGAAGACACTCCCCTATCATTTACACCACAATATCTCATGTAGAGGTTGGTTTTCTAAACAACATCCTATGAGCAGCCAATTCTGCACAAAATTGTGAGTTTCAGTGCAGAACATGTGGTGGAAACCCTATGTAGGCATATTAGAATGAGGTGAAAACGATAGGAGAGTCAAGTTGGAGTATGAAAACACTCCCCTAGCATTTACACCTCAGTATCTCATGTGGAGGTTGGTTCTCTAAACAACATCCTTAGAGCAGCCAATTCTGTCCAAAATTGTGAGTTTCAGTGCAGAACAAGAGGGTGGAAAGCCTATGTAGGCATATTGGAATGAGGTGAAAATGATAGGAGAGTCAATTAGGAGTGTGAAGACACTCCCCTATCATTTACACCACAATATCTCATGTAGAGGTTGGTTTTCTAAACGACAACCTAAGAGCAGCCAATTCTGCACAAAATTGTGAGTTTCAGTGCAGAACACGTGGTGGAAAGCCTATGTAGGCATATTGGGATGAGGTGAAAACGATAGGAGAGTCAAGTTGGAGTGTGAAGACACTCCCCTAGCGTTTACACCTCAGTATCTCATGTGGAGGTTGGTTCTCTAAACAACATCCCTAGAGCAGCCAATTCTGCCCAAAATTGTGAGTTTCAGTGCAGAACAAGAGGGTGGAAAGCCTATGTAGGCATATTGGAATGAGGTGAAAACGATAGGAGAGTCAATTAGGAGTGTGAAGACACTCCCCTATCATTTACACCACAATATCTCATGTAGAGGTTGGTTTTCTAAGCGACAACCTAAGAGCAGCCAATTCTGCACAAAATTGTGAGTTTCAGTGCAGAACACGTGGTGGAAAGCCTATGTAGGCATATTGGAATGAGGTGAAAACGATAGGAGAGTCAATTTGGAGTGTGAAGACACTCCCCTAGCATTTACACCACAATATCTTATGTAGAGGTTGGTTTTCTAAACAACATTCTAAGAGCAGCCAATTCTGCACAGAATTGTGAGTTTCAGTGCAGAACACGTGGTGGAAAGCCTATGTAGGCATATTGGAATGAGGTGAAAACGATAGGAGAGTCATGTTGGAGTGTGAAGACACTCCCCTAGCATTTACACCTCAGTATCTCATGTGGAGGTTGGTATTCTAAACAACATCCTTAGAGCAGCCAATTCTGCACAAAACTGTGAGTTTCTGTGCAGAACAAGCGGGTGGAAAGCCTATGTAGGCATATTGGAATGAGGTGCAAACGATAGGAGAGTCAAGTTGGAGTGTGAAGACAGTCCCCTATCAATTACACCTCAGTATGTCATGTGGAGGTTGGTTTTCTAAACAACATCCTAAGAGCAGCCAACTCTACGCTAAAATGTGAGTTTCAGTGCAGACAAGAGGGTGGAAAGCCTATCTAGGCATAATGGAATGAGGTGAGAAGGATAGGAGAGTCAAATAGGAGTCTGATGACACTCCCCTATCATTTACACCTCAGTATCTCATGTAGAGGATGGTTTCCAAAACAACATCCTAAGAGCAGCCAATTCAGCACAAAAATGTGAGTTTCAATGCAGACAAGAGGGTGGAAAGCCTATGTAGGCATATTGGAATGAGGTGAAAACGATAGGAGAGTCAGTTTTGATTGTAAAGACACTCCCCTATCATTTACACCACAATATCTCTTGTATAGGTTGGTTTTCTAAACAACATCCTAAGAGCAGCCAATTCTGCACAAAATTGTGAGTTTCAGTGCAGAACACGTGGGGGAAAGCCTATGTAGGCGTATTGGAAAGAGGTGAAAACGATAGGGGAGTCAAGTTGGAGTGTGAAGACACTCCCCTATCATTTACCCTTCAGTATCTCATGTGGAGGTTGGTTTTCTAAACAACATCCTTAGAGCAGCCAATTCTGCACAAAACTGTGAGTATCTGTGCAGAACAAGAGGGTGGAAAGCCTATGTAGGCATATTGGAATGAGGTGCAAACGATAGGAGAGTCAATTTGGAGTGTGAAGACAGTCCCCTATCAATTACATCTCAGTATGTCATGTGGAGGTTGATTTTCTAAACGACATCCATAGAGCAGCCAATTCTGCCCAAAATTGTGAGTTCTGTGCTGAACAAGAGGGTGGAAAGCCTATGTGGGCATATTGGAATGAGGTGAAAACGATAGGAGAGTCAAGTTGGAGTGTGAAGACACTCCCCTATCATTTACACCTCAGTATCTCATGTAGAGGTTGGTCATTTTTCATAATACCTCACAACAGGCAAAAGTGTGAGCAACCAACTAGACAAGTAGATGAAAAGCCTACCAAGGATTGTTGTATTGACCTGAAAATTGTAGGGGGTTCTGTTTGTAGTGTGCTGAGACTCCCCAATCATTTACAGAAAATGAGCGGTTAACACATGTCTATGATAGCCAGAGAATGAGTTGGCAAGTGTTAGGAGCAACCCTAGATAAGGCAAAAGATCCAAATTTAACAAAACAGACAAAAAAACCAAATCATGCCAGATTGTTGAGGACAATTAGGGGATCTTAGGAATACTGGTTACAATGAAATTCAACCACAAATTTTACAAATATGTGGTCTCAAAGATTGCTAGCTAAATTCAGAAATGGGACCATAAATCATACTGCGCACACTCATTTGCAAAATATTTAAGTACATGAAGGTAACATGATCTTACCTAGGTCACCCATGAAGCAAAAAAAGGATTAAAACAAAAAAACATTCCACTGGTGATTCTGACTTAGCCATTTTGACACTCTGAGAGATATCTTCAGAAACCCTATAGGCAACACTAATATTACACTGTCAGTGTGCAGAACACTAGTCCGAGCGACTGACCCTTTCCAAGGCCGTCAACGACACGGTAACACGGCGTCATGCGACAAGCCAGCGCTTCAGGGGGGGTATGAATTTATAAGGTACACACCCGCGCAAGGCAATAATCTAGGCCAAATCTACGGCGAACGGGCAAAATCATGTTTTTCGCAAAACTTTTGCCAGCAG